GGGTTTCTCGGGAGAGCTACGATCCCAGCTGATGATTTAGCAGCCTAAATAAGATTATACTATCCTTAGCCAGGGGTGAAAAACAGAAGTCTTCTGGAGGCATCTGATCTATCACACCATGTCTGCATAGCTTCTTCTGTCTTATGAATAAGGCCTGCGGTGCTCAAATTACATTAGGCAGAGCTTAACACTGTGTCTGCATCTGGATGAAGCACAGATTAGCATGCACTCCAGGATAAACCCTCAGGGTAGCCATGATGAAGAACTCTAACCATGCCTTGACTGTGCAAACCTGCGCTCATTTCCTTTGCATGGGATGAGATTGAATAAACCTTTGCCATGCAAAATAACAGATAACAAACCACCCGCAGTGATTCATTTTCATAATGAAAACTTTAATGACAAAGTGGATGGGAGAGTCGCAGTAAACTCACCAAGACGGAAAGGACAGCACGTCTGAAGAAAAGAAGAAGATGCATTTACATTGTATCTCGTATTCGAGCATTAAGTAGAGCGCACAAATTCATTCACTTCAAGTGCCGTTCATTTCAGAGCATGGGGTGTAATTCTGAATATTTCTCTTTGAAATGTGTGGCTCATGCAGATTTCTTTAGTAATTTATGCCAAAATTAATAGTTTGCATGCCTTTAAAGACATGCCTGAATATCTGATGTGCAGTGGTGGGTGGTAGAGAGAGTGCATTTGCATAGCAGTGGTTGCTCTTCTGTAAAGATAACAACTTTGAAAACCATGCTAAATACATTTGGAGTTAATACCAGGTAGGTTGAGAGTTGAAGCTGCCCACAGATTGCCCTCAGTGCAAATTATAATATAAACCTCAACTACACGCCTTGTGTGTATGTTTTAGTTTTTTTGTTTGTTTGTTTTTTCCAGACTAAGAGAAAGGAATTGGAAGGTACATATAGATTTATTCGTTTGCTTGTTTCATGCTTCAAGACCCAGCACTGGGTTGTATTTAACCCAGCATTTTTTAGAGTGTATAAATGTAAATTCGATCAATTTAAAAGCATTTTTGAATAAAAGTACGCTAAAAATGATGGGTTATAAACAACCATTTCTGGGTTATTTGGCAACCCAGCACTGAGTAAATATTGGGCAGAACATGCTGAGTTATTTTGACATTACATTAACCCATTTGCTGGGTTGTTTTTTGACAGTGCTGGGTCAGTCAACCTGATATTGAAGGTTTTTCATTTTAAATAATGAAAATGCACTCTAAAATCTTTGTTATATATTCATATACAATATTTTTCTATCCAATGGTAAGTCAGTCTTTTACAGTCATAAAATACTCAAAAACATTCAGTAAGTGTTTTAGGACATGACAGGAGCAGCAAAAGCAGTCACTGGGAATCTGTGGGAAGAAAACTGGAATTAGTAAGCTGTTCCAGTTCATTAAATGACAATCTTATACATGCATGATTGAAAAGTTACATCAAAATCAGCTTCACCTCGTGCCATCTCATGTCAGCCATTTAAGTTTGGGTTTCAACCCGTCAAACGACCACAGCTCGCTAGCGCACTAGATCAGTAGCACTCAGTTGTAGTCAATGGTGCATACGGAAACTTTGTTACATATAACATGTAGCATCGTGTTTCAGCCCTGGTTGTGCATTTGTTTGGTAGGAGGTGAAATTTCCATGGTGGCGCCGGTGCGTTGTTCGCTTTGAGTGTAGGTCTGGTGTAGGCTAGCATTCCTAGCAGATGTTATCTGCGACGTACATGTAAACAAAAAAGATTAAATGTGAGCTGACCTTAATTTCATTCAGGATGTTTCCCCAAAGGAAGTTTTCTCTCAAGACAGAACACAAATGACCGCTGACAAACATAACCAGTTTTAACTGGCTTGGCACAGTTTACCCAACATTGGGTTACACTGACCCAGCACTGGGTACACTCTAAAAAAATGCAGGGTTGTTTCAACCCAACTTTGGGTCAAATATGGACTAACCCAACCTTTGGGTTAAAATTTTACATTAAATTTTAAACCCAAAGGTTGGGTTAGTCCATATTTGACCCAAAGTTGGGTTGAAACAACCCAGCATTTTTTAGAGTGTAGTTATGTGAGGGGGTTCATCATTTGCATTGACAGTAAAAATGACCCAGCAGCTGAGTTACAAAAAAACTACCCAGCACCTGGGTAAAAATATTAAAAATAATAGAATTTTGGATTAATTATTTATTTAACATCACAGTGCTTTGCTTTACTGTCATCTCTTACTCTGTTCTATTACTGTGAATGTTTTAATGAAGACATTTTCAGGTGTGTCGAGTGATTGGTGACAGAATATGCAAGGGTTAGATGAAAGTGTTACACCGTTGTGTATTATCTGATTATTTGCTGTCTTCATTTGCATTACAGAGTTACGAGTGCCTCTGTCTACCCGGCTGGGAGGGGGAGTTCTGTCAATGGGAGACCGATGAATGTTCATCAAACCCCTGTAAAAACAATGCCACCTGTAGAGACCTCCTCAACGCTTACAGGTGGGTTGCAAAAACACAGCTTGACGGAGCAAAGAAAATCTGGATGAATGGACAGGCTAGAGATGGGTCACATGGTTGACTAGTTTTTCCAACAACCTTCCTGCTGATTAATGAGGTTGTTCAGTTTATGTATTTTTATTAATCACTAAAATGCCTTTCTTTTTGTTTCCTGCTGATGTTGACTCTTTTTTTTTTTTTTAAATCAAACCTCCTTTTACACATTCACCATTTTTTTAATTTCCCTCTGTTCTAGCCTATACTATTCTCGACAATGCTTCATTAAGATGAATTTGTTGTTTTCCTCCGTTGTAAGCTACTTTGGATAAAGGTGTCTTCTAAATGAATAAATGTGATGTAAACTTAACTTTAGCATAGAAGTTGCTTCTGTAGGGCTTAAACATTGTGCACAACCCTGGGTTAACGTTGTTTTAACTTGTAATTTGGAAAAGGTTAGTAAATTAGAGTGAAAGAGGAGTGTAGTGTGACCTCATAAATATGTAAATAAGAATGTTAGCCCAGGGTTTACAAATATACAGTGTGAAATCATGAAACATGACTACCCAGGATGAATTAACATTTACCATGGGTTAAGAATGACCCTTGATTAACAATTTAATGTGTGTAAATCACATTTAAATAAATGAAATTAGTTAGAATTAGTTTTGAGGCTTTTAGTCCATGTGTGTCAACTTTGAGGTCAACTCCTAAATGTTGATGTAAATACACTTTTAGCAGGGATGTGCATTTAAAATGTTTTTTTTTCTTATATTAAATATAGTGTATTGTTCTGTTTTTAAGATTTTGTATCAAATTAACAGTAGTTCAAAATATAAAAATGTGATCTGCATGGTTATTCATATACTGGTATGTCCTATTGGGATTGGGTTAGCATCATATTTATTTGTTGATAATAAAAACTTTGTTGCCAAACCCCTTAGACATAAAATAGTTACTTGTAAAAAAAAAAAAAAAAGTTTGATTTTAAGTTAATATTTCAATAATTTCCGGTGAGAGGTGACGAATGTGGAAGTGCAGTGGATAGAGCAAATCAAAACACCGGTCACTAATTAGAAGAACAAAACGAGAATTTGGAAAGAAAAATGTCAGAGGTTTCGATATAAGCCAAGAGGACACTGGTTTTCCTTTGCTGTAAACAAAACTCGCGAGACTAACATATTCTCACTGGAGTTTACGCTACACCTACGTCCTACATCATCCGCTGGAACGCCACTCTCTTGTGAACTTGCATACGACAGTTAGTGGAAGCTAGAGATTAAGTTTTATAAAGTTTTTAATATGGATATTTTTCTTACACAAATGCATTGCTTCGCTTCAGAAGGCCTTTATTAAAAAAAAACATTATAACTGTATATTTTCATGCTTTTTCAAGTAAAGCAAATTTTGTCCACTAAAAACATTTCTGGTCATAGACAATGTTGAAGACGTTATTGTCAACATGCCTAAGTGGTAAATAAATAAAACAAAGGTTTATAAAAATGTAGCTATATACATTTTATTTAAATAATAACAAACATCAGGAAAAAATAGGAAACAATACCTTTGTTTTTCGTATACTTGTGTCGCTTACAATTAAAGTTTGCAACGTTACTTGGCAATATTTTAAAGATATTATTATTATTATTATGGTATTTTGCATGGTCAATCATTGGAGTAGTGTCACCCGGGTGGGAGTTTGAACTCCTATTCACTGGGAATAAAAATAAATGAATAAAAAAAAATAATTCAGTCGATGCAGAGACATATAGAGAGGGGGAATCCCCCATCTCCCCACCTTCTGAATATTACGTATCATAACGTAACTATGTTATTTGGCGGGTTTTACTTGGTTTTACTTTACTTTCTAGCATTCGAATAATTATGGATAAACCTAAAACCTATAAGAAGGATTGGAGATTAATTTAATTTACAAATAAGGTAGGAATGTGCATACTTTTAAATCGACACCTGTCACGGTGTTTTCCTCTTTGAGTGTGTCTAAAAGTGATGGG